AGAGAGAGAGAGAGAGATATAAAGTGTGTGTGTGTGTGTGTGTGTGTGTGTGTGTATGTAAAAGGAACATCTAAGATAAACACCCCAGATCCTTTCCCGGGACCTACGTGTGACAAGTATGTCTACCCAAAGTATATAAACTAAGCCATGCTTTATTTATTTGGCCAACATACACAGAAAGAAGCTATAGCATCCCTTTACCAGAGCACCACATAAATTTGAATCAATGCCATTATGAACTGTGTTGAGATCTTTTAGCATCTACATTATCACAGCAGCTCTAAGTCTTTTATACTCATGCAAACTGCTGCCAGGCTAGATTCTCAACATTTTCAAATTCTTTTAAAAACTTAAATTTACGTTAATGTCTGTTCCTACTTATCTTGTTTATTTATGTTGTTTTTAGCTTTCAAATAATATTTCTGTACAAAATGTATTTGTCATTCTTCCAGCATTAGGTCTTAACATTAAGCATGTTATTTTCCCTCCATCTAAATCACTGAGTAAATAAATATCCAATAGAATGAGGCCAAAGAAAGTATTCTTTCTTTAGGGAACTATAATTCTGTTATGTTCGTACTTCAAAACCAATTTCTCCCTCCTGGATATCCCCCAGGTTTTTATGGCACATCTAAGATTGGTCAGCTGTTTACCAGCACTATAAGACTTCCAGAGTTCAAAGGGACTTTCCAGGGTCATAGTCTTGCACAATTCTCTCATTTATAAATAAAGAATAGGAAGTTTAGTTATATATCCTTGGTCACATGATTAATAACTGGTATTTCTGGAAGCAGAACTAAGGAATTCTAAATACAAAAATATAGTGTTCTTTCCATTACAGATTTTTATTTATATTTTGTATTTTCTGTTCATTTTTATCTACAAAAAATAGAGAAATTATTATTCTGTTTGATCTAAAATATTGTGCACTTTTTGTTTTCAAGGGTATTTTTGCTGCCATACAAGAAGCACACATTCTATTTCCTCAAATTTTTAAGTCCATTCAGGGAATAGGCGAGTGAATAGCCTGTATCTACTCTGACAAGCTGGAAAGCAAAATAAATGTCAATTCTGACTTGCTGCTAGTGAACAAAGGGTATTTTGGTTACAAATATCAAATCCTGACCCTGACCCTACAAATATATTTAGGATTAACTATCAACTTTCTAAGACTCAAAGAGAGAATGATGATTTTATCATTGTACGGATAATGTAAATTCTATGAGAGTACTAGTTTTATATTCTATGATTTTTGCCTTGCTTGCAATAGGCTCTCAATAAAAATATCCTGATAAACAAATAAATGAATAAGTTAAAGAATAAACTGTAAAAGGAACACTGACCAAAAAAGCTGATCTAAAAATTTTTATAACTCCCCCAAAGCAACAAAAAAGATATATCTCTTGGCTATTAAAATTAACTAAATAATAAAAGGAGTCTTAATATTACAATTACAACATTCTTTTTCAGCAAAGTGATTGCTCTTTTCCATTTTGCCCCTTACCTTGAAATTTCGACAGGTTACACTTTGTTTCCTTATACTCCCTATATATGAGACTTCATAACAATTCTGTTCATTTTTCTAGAAATATCAAGTAAATGTTCAGAGACCAAATCAACTTCATTGTCATAAGATTATAAAAAGGCCATCACTAGGTAGAAAGATTAGGCTCTTGTATTAGTATTACTTTATGACCAGAACTCAAAAACAAGCCAAATAATTTATTATTTTCCTCACTGTTTATATTTTCTTTGCAAGCAGTTGCTCTGAGAACTCATTTCAAACTATAAAATTTCACACTTACCGAAACAGTAATTTTTAGCAATCCTGCATGGATTAAAACAAAACATTCCATTTACTGGTGCTTTTATTAAATGTTCTCTTCTACATTGTTCCTCTAAAATCTAAGTAAAAAGTACTAAAACAATACTGTGTTAATTTTGCTATCTGTTAAACAGTGTTACAATATTTTAAAACTACGTTACTTATAAAGTCAAAACTAATATTATTTGATATCACCAATAATTTAATAAGCCACATAAGCACCAACCTATATAATCCCCTCCCATAGGTTCTCTCCTTACAGTTTTCCTTTAAATTACAAAAGTGAAAAATCTAATTTGAAAACTATGGATTTAATAAACAGATAAACTTACTGAAAAAATCTTTAAAGGCGTTTAACCAATCCATTTAGAATAAAAATTCCGTGTTTTCTTTTGTCAGTTACAGCTCGGGACAGTTCTGAGTGAGCTTCCTGGTCTGTTCTGTAACACTGAAACTTCCCACACCCAACCCACGTGACTTGGCCCACACCCAGGCAATACAAAGTTTTTCTGAGGCTACTCTCTTTCCAAACATTTCCCCCCCTGAATTATAACAGAACCTGTAAAGCAAGTATATTATGGCCACAAATGTGATCTTATTATTCAGAGTTATTTTAGAAGAAGCTTTAAGTCATACATATTTTCAACAATTGAAAATATATTCACGTATTCATTTTTTTCCTGTGTTTTCTTAACTTTCAAACAATGTCTCCATCAGCACAATTATCGCGAAACGATTTAATTATATGGGACATCTAAGTTACCAAAAAGGAGTTCAGAAATTCTGTGGAGATAAGGCTGTCTGATGCAAACACTGAATTTACATCACTATATAAGGCTAACTACAGATCACTAACTTAAAATGAATAATTAAAAAATGTTTTGGGCTTTAAAGTTTATATGCAGTAATATCTAAAATTTGGAAACTTAGCCTCTTTGCTCTATGGTATTAGTTTTTACACTATCTTTTGTTAAATACTATCACATTTGCTCTAGTCGCAGGATACCAGCATTCTTTTAAGAAATATCTATTTAGCCAAAACTGATTTGGCTCAGAGGCAGAGCGTCGGGTCTGCGGACTGAAGGGTCCCAGGTTCGATTCCGGTAAAGGGCATGTACGTTGGTTGCGGGCACATCCCTGGTGGGGGGTGTGCAGGAGGCGGCTGGTCGATGTTTCTCTCTCATCGACGTTTCTAGCTCGCTCTCTCTCTCCCTTCCTCTCTAAAAAATCCATAAAATAAAAAAATAAAATAAATAAATAAATAAAAATATCTATTTAGATGTGGTTCTAGTGCTTTTCGTGCCTTCATCACTATAAGGCACACTTTCTTCACAGAAGTTACCTTAATTATTCCCAATATCTCTATAAATGTCCAGTATTCACAAAATAATAAACATTCTTGGTTCTAACTCTGGTCTCTTTTAGCTACTCAAGGAAAATCTCTTTCTGGTTTCTTTCAATAAAAAACTAACAATGGTCTTTTTTTAAAATATATTTTATTGATTTTGTACAGAGAGGAAGGGAGAGAGATAGAGAGTTAGAGACAGCGATGAGAGAGAGTCATCGATCAGCTGCCTCTTGTACACCCCCTACTGGGGATATGCCCGCAACCAAGGTACATGCCCTTGACCAGAATCGAACCCGGGACCCTTCTGTCCCCAAGCCCACGCTCTGTCCATTGAGCCAAACCGGTTTCGGCTAACAATGGTCTTATACACAAACTTAAAATCTCAAAAAAGGTAACCTTACCACGGCAGTTCAATGTCATGGTGAAAATTCAGATTAATAACTTCATTTATTAAATTACATTTAGAATACTGGATTTTTAGTTCAGAAACTAATATTCTAATATTTTATATCTTACTTTGAATTGTGCAATAAAGTTTTGCTGCTTTATAATGGTTAAAAACAAAAAATATTTGTTTTTTATTACTGATTAAGTTAGTGTAGAATTAACAATATTGAATAAGAATTAAAAAATACAAAGAAGTTAATCAATAATATTTTATATTTGTCAGTCATGCATGCCACATTACTCCCAAACTATCTTCACTAGGAGAAATTTTACTTCCTCTTCTAGATATATCCAATGAACCCTTAAGTAATAGAATGTTTGCATGCTTGCCTGAATACAAAAAAATGAAACTCTGTCCCTCCCAATTCCTTCCTGTCAGCCAAAGAGATTTTAATTAAAAAAAAAAAAAAAAAAAAAAAAAGGCCACTCCTCATCTGGACAGATCCTATCAGCTCAGCAAGGCAAGTGTGAAGTAGGTTCCACTATGTTGGCCCTAATGAGGGCCAGTAAAAACAAACTTTACAGCTAGAAGAAGAAAGAATGGGGAAAGAAAAGAAAAACAAAATAAAAAAGATCAGCCTAATAGAAGCTAATGTACAGTAATGAATCTAATTGACTTTTACACAGTAATGAATTCACAATTTAAAATTTTTTTTATCAGCCAAGACTGGTTTGGCTCAATGGATACAGCGTCGGCTTGGGGACTGAAGGGTCCCGGGTTCGATTCCGGTCAAGGGCATGTACCTTGGTTGCGGGCATATCCCCAGTAGGGGGTGTGCAAGAGGCAGCTGATCAATGACTCTCATTGATGTTTCTAACTCTCTCTCTTCCTTCTTCTCTGTACAAAATCAATAAAATATATTTAAAAAAATTTTTTATCAACAATAATAATAAAATAATGGTTTGCTTTTAAAAGTGAAGCTCAAAGTGTAAATCATTAGATGTTTAAAATATAACAATGTGCCATGCAAAATAAACTGCCTTCATTTCAAGGTGGCAATTCTGCATCTTACTCATTTACCCCCGGTCTCATTTAGATGCAGAATTTGCCTAACTTCCTCAGGTACTCAGAGTTCAAAGAGCCCCTGCTATGTAAGTCAGTTCTGCCCCTTAGCACCACCCTGGCTTGATTTTTTTTAACTCCAGCCAGACCCAACAGAGCTAGATTCATAGAAACTTCCTACAAACACTTACGACATCCACTAGTCTCCTGATGTGAACACCTACTATAAGCCAAGTTTACCTTGTCTAGCTGAAATTCCAGTCCAGGACTTTTCTAGTCAGATCTCCCACTACTGCCAAAATTATGTACAAAGAACCAAGCTCTAACATCTACTTAAAAGAAAGTATTGTTGCTGTTTTAATACAAAAAAAACTTACCTAATGTATCCTTTAGGTTTTTTACAATAGATGCTTTCCGAGCACTGTTTTTCCTTTCCACATAGTTAGAAGGCACAAAACCTGTTTTATTCAAGGAATTTCGAACTCGCCACCAAGACTTAGAATCATCTAGAAGCCATAATCTCTCATTCTTCTTGATGTCCAGCTCTTGTTCTTGTTGGGCCACATAATCAAATTTGGCTACTACAACCACTTCTTCTGCCATCTTTCAGCAGCTTCAGCACTGTAACCACATAGAAAATATTTTTAAGGTGTAAATAATAGTAGTCTATATACTTTTCAAAAGAGATACACCTAAAAAATCTAAGAGCACTGAAAGGTTAAAAGTAAAAATATGAAAAATAATACACCAAGCAAATAAAAATCAAAACACAACTGGTGTAGCTATATTAATAACACACTAAAATACTTTGAGGCAAAACCATTACTAATGATAAAGAAATTTACTATACAGTGGTAAAAGTCTGTAATATCTATACTTATGTATTGATTAACATAGCGCCAAAATAGATTACAAGAACCACAAAAAAAAAAAATAGACATCTATGGTCACAGAGGACAATTTTTAAATTTTTTATTAAGGTATTATGTGTGTACATATCTTACCAATTCCCCCCCCACACTCCCATACATGGCCTCCCTCCCCAGAGTTTTGCGTCCATTGGTTATGCTTATATGCATGCATACAAGTCCTTCGGTTGATCTCTTATCTCCCCCATATCTCCCTCCCCTCCCCACTGTAATTTGACAGTCTATTGCTTTACTGCACAGAGGACAATTTTTAACAATACACTATCTCAGTAATAAATCAAGGAGATAAAAAAATTAGTGAAGCGAGAATAGAACTGACATCATAACTATGTAGTTTGAAATAATCTATAATAATCTATAATAATAAAAGCATAAAATGCAAATTGACCAACAGCCGAACAGCGGGACAACCTTCCAAATGAAGCCGGGACTGAGAGGGCCAAGGCAATAAAGGGCTGTGAAGGCCTACTCTTCCATGAATTTCATGCAGTGGGCCTCTAGTTCTATATAATAAAAGCATAATATGCAAATCGACTGAACAGCTTAACAGCAGGATGACCTTCTGGACAAAGCTAAGGCTGCAAGGGCAGAGGCCTACTCTTGCATGAGTTTTGTGCATTGTCCTATATATCCTATATAATAAAAGTGTAATATGCCAATCGACCAAACAGCAGAGCGACTGGTTGCTATGGCGCACTGACCACCAAGGGGTAGACATTCAACATAGGAGCTGCCCCTTGGTGGTCAGGCACTCCCACACGGGGAGCATCACTCAGCCAGAAGCCCAGCTGATGGCTGGCAAGCACAGAGGCAGTGGCAGGAGCCTTTCCTGTCTCCGCTGCAAGAAAGCAGTAAGAAGCAGCAAGAATCCCAGACTGTGAGGAGGATGTCTGTCTGCCAGCTTAGGCCCAATTCTGGGGGTATCAGGGCTAAGCTAGCAGGCAGACATCCTTGAGGAATCCTGCACTGCAAGAGGGCACAGGCCGGGCTGAGGGTTCCCCCTCCCCCCAGTGCACAAATCTCACATACCGGGCCTCTAGTAAATATATAAAAATACCAGAGGCCCGGTGCACGAATTTGTACACAGGTGGGGTCCCTCGGCCCCTTCTCCAGATCTTGAACCCTAGCCACAGAAGGATGCAGCGTTCACAAGTATACATAATGTGTGTACATATTTTGTTGGGGGGGGAGCATAAAAATTAGAATTCCCAATTTATATTTACTCACAAAGAAACAATAGAAAGGTAAAACCAAATAATGGTTATCCTGCGGGGAGAAAAGAGAGAGAACCTCAGTATGGAAACAGACCTCTCTGGGTGTACTTTTAGAAGCATCTAAATGTTTTATGTAATTATAAAGTAAAATTAAATTTACAAAAAGGAAAAATAAGGTGATCTCTAAGGAAAAAAAAAAGAAAGAAAGAAAAAAGAAACAAATTAACCTAGTTGTATATTCAGTTGATGTCATAACCACACAGAAACATATTCTGCCTTTGAGACAGCATTCTTCCTAGAACAAAGTAGATTTCATGACAAGGGAAATTACTAGGTTCATCAAGACGGCACAACAATCCTAAATGTGTAGGTACTTAACAACAGAGTTCTATATATAATACATGAAGCAAAAAGTACTAGAACTGAAGGAAGTAAACAAATCTATTAATTATTCTTGAAAACTGAAACACTAATCTCAGTAATCCACCAAAGTAGATACAAAAGCAACATAAACAAAATCTAACCAACAACTGAGTGAATCTAATTGACTTTATACAATGCTATATCCACCAGCAACACAGAAATCTTTTCAAGTGTACATGGTATTAGTCACCAATACAGATCATATTCTGAATCATAAAAACAAACTTTAAATAAATGTAAAAGGTTACATTACCCAGCATGTGATCTCTGATCATGATGAAGTTAAAGTCAGTAACAGAAAGATATCTGGAATATCTCTAAGTATTTAGAAGTTGAAAACACTTCTAAATAATATGTTGTCAGTCTTCTAAGAGAAAATTAGAATATTTTGAACAAAATGAAAATAGAAATACAACATATAAAAATTGGTTGAAATTAATTTTCTTCCAAGCAGCTAATGGACTGCTTAGAAGGAAATTTATAGCATTAAAATACTAATAAAAATGCTAGGGAAAAAAGTCCCAAATCAATAATGTAAGCTTTCACCTTTTGAAACTAAAAAAGAGCACATTAAACTCAAAGGAAACAGGAAGGATATAAAGATTAAGACCAGAAATCAGGAGACAAAAAGAGAATACTTGAAAAATTATTGAAACCGAAAGGGTTGAGAACAGGTCTCCCCAAGATATTCCACTTTGGCATGTTAATTTTGATCTGAAGGTAAATCAAGACCAGCAAGCTCATGAAAACTTTCACCTATCTCTTAAAGAATTTAAATTTGGAGCCTTTCCCACAATGAGAATCATTACAAGAAATAATTTTTATGACCTATTTATAGGGCAGGAAAAACTTTTAATTACTGAACATCTGCTCTTCTTATGGTCTTGTGAATCCCCAAAATATCTTCTCTCCTCCTTAGCCCAGAATGCCATATATACCTCATTTTAACTTTCTGTATTGGAACCCCTCATGTATGTGCAGTTTCTGAAATGTAATATACATATACAGATATATGTACATAAATGTGGATTATTTCTCATTACTCTGTCTCATGGTGACTTATTAGACTAGTGGAAAAACCTAGAAGGGTAGAGTAGGAATATCTTCCTCCCCAACAAAACCAAAAGATGGTCCTTGAAAAGATCAAGGCAATTGCTAAATCTTTAGCAAATACGATCAAGAAAAGAAAATTACCAATGTCTGTGCTGAGAAAATATCATCAAAGATCCAAAGATATTAAAAACAGAAGAGAATACTATTGCTGACTTGAATGTCTGTGTCCCTACAAATTCATGTCAAAATCCTAACCCCCATAAGGATGGAGTGCTCATGAATGGGATCAGTGCTCTTAAAAAAGAGATCCCAGAGCCCAGGCTGGGTGGCTGGGCTGGCTGAAGGGCCGTCTAGTACACCAAAAAGGTTTCAGGTTCGATTCCCAGTAAGGGGCATACAGGAGAAAACTGACTCACGTTTCTCTCTTTTTCTCTCTACCTTCCTTTTTCTATAAAATCAAAAAACATTGTTTTAAGGGCGAGTGGGAAAGAGAAAAAGAAAAGAAAAATATTCTCAGGAGAGTATTAACTAACTAACTAAATAAATAAATAACAAAGAACTTGGATAAACTGTGTTCATGTCTGAGGGTTTTGTGGAAGCTAGAACTGTGAGGATAAATTGGCTATTTGGTTACAGCTATCGGGTCTAGTAATAATTAATGTCGTTTTTAAACATTCGTTTAAAATCTTGCTTGGCATTGACTTGTATTGACATAACCTTCAAACACGTGGTATCTACAGAACGTGTGAAGTGCAATTAACAAGTTTTGCTTGAAAAGTTTGTGTTTGGTTTGGTTTTTGTTGCAAAACTAGGGCTAAGAAGATGGCGGATGAAGAGCATATTCGGCACTGCATGCTTTATGAGTTCCAATTAGGAAGAAAAGCAAGTGAGGCTGCAAAAAACATCTGTAGTGCTCTTGGTCAAGATGCAGTTAGCGCCAGAAAATGCCAGCGTTGGTTTGAGAAATTTCACGAGGGAAATTTTTTGTTAGATGACAAGAGTGGTCGAGGCCGTGTGTCCAATTTTGATCAAGAAGCTCTTCAAGCTCTTTTGGTGCAAAATTCTCAAATTACCCAACAAGAGCTTGCGACAACTTTAAATTGTTCACAAAAAACAATTTTCAATCAATTGTGTGCACTTGGCAAAGTCCAAAAGTTTGGAAAATGGGTTCCTCATGAGTTGACCTACAACAACCGTAATCAAAGAGTCACAATTTGCAGTTCGCTCCTCTCTCGTCAAAACCGTTTGCCGTTTTTAGAGCAAATTGTTACCGGAGATGAAGAATGGGTGCTGTATGTTAATTTGAAAAGGTGGCCTCAATGGTTGGACAAAAATGAGGCTCCGCAGCCCACGCCAAAACCTGACTTGCATGCGAAAAAAGTGATGTTGTGTGTTTGGTGGAATTTTAAAGGAATTCTTCATTATGAACTTTTACCATCTAATCAAACCATTACAAGTGCAGTGTATAGTGCCCAATTGGAAAGGGTAGCCCAAGCTTTAAGAGAAAAAGAACCCGCGCTGATTAATCGGAAGGGCGTAATTCCTCACCACGATAACGCACGACCGCATACTGCAAGAATCACTGCTGAAAAACTGCGCCAGTTGGAATGGGAAGTTCTCCCTCAACCTGCATATTCTCCTGATATTGCCCCTTCCGATTACCATTTGTTTCGTTCTTTGCAAAACTTTCTTCTTGGAAAAAAATTTAATAATGAAGAATGCCTCAAAAATGCATTGACCGAATTTTTTGCATCAAAATCACAAGTATTTTACAACAGAGGGATTAAAATGCTTCCTGAGCGTTGGGCACAAGTAGTAGAAAACAACGGCAACTATATTGTTGATTAAATTTTGTTGTATTGTTTAAATAAATTCGATTTTAAAAAGTATTGGAAAACGACATTAATTATTACTAGACCTAATATTACTAAGCAAAGTGTTGAAACTGCAATTTTGCTTCTCTTGGATGCTTAGAGTAAAATTTGAGAAGAGAAACAATTTA